TTCCAAAACTGAGTTATAAAAGGCATTGTGGCATCTCTCTTAATTAGATAATCCTACAAGGCTAACATTGGTCAGAGACCTACTTCTTGTTGCTCCTGGTGTATTAGCTATATATTCATGTACAATAAATTATTCCAAAACTTAGCAGCTTACAACAACACATATCATCATATATAGTTTCTGTGGATTAAAATTTGTGAGCCATAGAGAAAATGGTGTGCACATTATAGTCCCAGCTAGTTGGGAGGCTATGGCAGGAGGATTGGTTGAACACATGAGTTCAAACCAGCCTGTGCAACATACCAAAACCCTGTATCAGAAGAAGAAAAAGGAAAAGAAGGAGGAAGAAGAGGAGGAGGAGGAAAGGAAAGGGGGGGGAGAGAGAGAGTGAGAGAAGGGAAGGGAAGGGAAGGGAGGGGAAAAAAGAAAAGAAAAGGTGGTTAGCCAGTGCTACAGTCATCTGAAGGCCTAACAGGGTCTGGAGGACCCATTTCCAAGTGAGTGACCCACTCACTTGGCTGACAACTTGATCCTGTTTATGGTGGAAGGTTTGCCTCAGCTCCTCTTTTCCATATGGGCCTCTCCATTTGGACTGTGTTGGTGACCTCATGACATGGTGGCTGGCTTCCTCAGAGCAAATGACTCAAGACAGTCCAATGTGGGCACTACAATGTCACACACTGACATTTCTACAATATCCCATCAAGACAACCCTGTAACTTGAACATTCTTACTCAACGTGGGAAGGGACAACACTAGGAGTCATCTTGAAGACCATCACCTTTGATTGTACAAACCTTTTGCAATTCCTCATAATTTTTATTATTATTTTTGTAAGAGGGGTACATTGTGATATTTACAAAAGTTCTTATAATGTATCATAGTTGGATTCACCCCCTTCATTTCATATTGTTTTAATATTCTAATAAGTTAGCATGTACATTTAGTAGAAAATGGTAGATGATACGTATTAAATATGTGGTTTTATTTTATTTAAACCTCAAAACAACACTATGAGCTGGATGCTGGCGGCTCACGCCTAATCCTAGCTACTAGGGAGGCTGAGATTGAGAGAATCGTGGTTCCAGGCCAGCCCATGCAAATAGCACTCAAGATCCCATCTTAAAAAATAACCAGAGTGAAATGGACTGGAGGTGTGGCTCAAATGGTAGAGCACCTGCTTTGCAAGCTTGAAGCCCTGAGTTCAAACCACAGCTCCCCCACAAACCCATACACACAAAAAAACCCACTATGAGATAGCTGCTTTTATTATCCCTTTCCACAGGTGATGAAATTGAGGAACAAGGAAGTTAAATAACTTGTCTAAATGTTCACCTAAGAAGTTTCAGAGCCAAAATCTGAACCCAGAGAGGTCTAGTTCCAGAGGCTATTATCTTAAGTAGTGGGCGATTCTGCTCAAAGTCTCCTTGACTGGGTTCCCTTAATTTTCTGTCTTGGGATCTGGAATAATGACACATTTTGTTTGGTCAGTGTGTTTGTGGTTTTGTTTGGTCAGTGTGTTTGTGGTAGCCAGTTTCTAAGACGGCCCCAAAGACCACCATCTCCTGCTATTCAGTCTTCTCTCTGTTTCACACTGTACCAAGGTTCATCTGTGTGAGCAACGGTACATGGAGACGCAGTGGTATGTCACTTCCAAGAGTGGGCTACAAAAGTCACTGTGGCATTCGTCTCACTCACTCTCTCACCCCTGCATCACTTGCTGTGGCTGTGAGCTGCCATGCCACAAACAACCCTATGCAGAAACCCTCATAGTGCAGAACCGAAGCCTCTTGCCATCAGTCATGTAAGTGAGCTTGCAGGTGATCCTCCTCCCAGACAAGCTTTCAAATGACCATAGTCCAGCCAGCACCTCGACTCAGCAGCAGCAAAGATCCTATGCCACAATCTCTTATCCATACTGCTTGGATTCCTGACCCTCAGAAAAGGTAAAACAAAGGTTTACTGTTTTAAACTGCCAGGTTTCAGGGTAATTTGTTACACAGAAATAGATAGCTACTATAGTAAATATCTCAAATGTCTACACACTTGATTTTAAGCACTGTCTAACCTAATGCCATCTCCATTAATATTTTCTTGCAAAGGGCTGGTGGAGTGGCTCAAGTGGTAGAGTGCCTGCCTAGCAAGCGTGAAGTTGTGAGTTCAAACCCTAGTACCATCAAAAAACAAAACAAAACTATTTTATTGCAAAATACCAAAAGGGGGTTAGAGTGGTTTCAGTTGGGAACTGGGGAATATTGCTAACTCTCTCCTTTGATACTGAAGGTCTATAAGCACCTTCACACTGCTAGCTGTCCTTTCTTTATCAGCCATGGGGCTGACATTTGCATGTCCCTTGTCTTGGTCTTCCCCCTGGTATGTGTGTAGGGTCCATATAGGTATCAGCTGACCTTTGACAAAGTACTAAGATATCCAAGAAAACACAGATCATTCACTGTTTATAATAATACTAATACCTGACGTTTATTGAATCTTTACTACGTGCCAGGTGTTTTTCTAAGTGGTTTATATATACTGCATTACACATTTTGTTTGGTGCCTCTGGGGTTTGAACTCAGGGCCTTGCACTTGCCAGGCAGGCGCTCTACCACTTGAGCCATGCCCACAGCCCTCATTTGTTTTTACAATCGAAAATACTGAATTTTCAGAATACAGTGTTCTGAATACTGCATCTATTTTATTTTTATTTCCCTTTTATAAATGGCAGAATCGAAAACTAAAAGGTTCAACCAGGGCTAGGATTAGAACTCAGGCAAACTAACCCACTGTTAACCATTGTGTTAAAATTCTTCTGGCAGAAGTTCTCAAAACTTTCAAAAAGACTGAAGGGTTTTGAGAACTAACACCACCAAATAACAGACAGAAGAACTGGCAGCAAAGTTAAATTTCTCTTTCTCCTGATAATGTTCCCCCAAACTGGGAAACTAAACTCCCCAGAAAATCATAACACGTTCTAGAGGTAGAACTCTCTCCTTCCTTAAAAAAGCTTAATTCAAAATATCCATTTCAGACCTATTTTACTATTAGTCTAACTGTACATATTTAGGTGGTACCATGTAGTAATCTGACAATGTATGCAATGTGTAATGATCAAATCAGGATAGATGGCATTTCCATCCCTTTAAATATTTTTTTCGTCATTTGGGACTTGCACTGGAGCTTTCTGGGCCCTAGTTTCTAGTGCCCAGACAAGAACAAAAAAAAAATCTCCTATGGTTTTATCAGCCATGTAGGTCTTGTTTATCTTTTTAGTCACAACCAGACTCGTAAAGGTCTCCCCCTCCTCCCTCTAGTAGTGGGGCTGAACTCAGAGCCGCACACTTGCTAGGCATGTGCTCTCCCACTTAAGCTATGCCTCCAGCTCTTTTTGCTTTAGGTGTTTTTCATATAAAGTCTTGCTTTATGTCCAGAATGGCTTGGACCTTGATCCTCCTAGTTATGCTTCCTGCATTGCTGGGATGACAGATGCAGAACACTGTGCCCAGTTTTTAATTGGTTGAGATGGGCTCTTGCCAACTTTTTGCCCAAGCTGGTCTTGAACGGCAATCCTCTTGATCTCTGCTTCCTGCCTCCCTAGTAGCTAGGATTACAAGCTTGAACCACCACCCTATCTGTTTTTGTTTTTTGAGACAGGGTGTCTGTATGGGACCCACGCTGCCTTGAACTCTATTTCCAGCCTCAGCCTGAAGAGTACTGGGATTACAGGAGTGTACCACCACCAGGGCTTTCCTGATTATTGAGATTATAGGGGAGACTGGAACGGTCTCTTCACCAAAATGCTTATGTGTCATACTTTAAACCTGGGTCAAAGTCATCAACAAGAGCTGGCCTAAGAGGAATTCCTTCCTCCTGAGCAGAATGAGGGAGATTTTAGAACTTGGCCTTCACACCTGGCAGACCTTTTGCCTTTAGCTCACTACTTGACATTAAGTAACTTATCATTTTTGAGTTTTATATACAATTCAGGGAATGACAGTCCTGAGCTGATGCACAGCAAGCCCCTAGCATGAAGAAGACACTCGGGAATGGCTTGGTGTGGAGTAAATAAATGCTTGGTATTATAATTATTACTTCAGTCATGGATCCATGCACAACAAAATTGTGCATCATTAACATTTACTTTTGAGGAAACATCAATTATTAAAAACAGATGTTCAAGTTGTAGAAAACATACACATCGGGGTTAACGACCACAGAACAGGTGACACACACCAATGCACGTTTACCTCTTAATGTAAATGTGTAGGTTTACTAGAAGTGTCTTGTGGCATACTTTTAAAATGCGATTATCTTATAATAGCAAAAACTTCTACCTGGCCCCTCGCGCCGGTGGTTCATGCCTGTGTTTCTGGTTACTTTGGAGGCTGAGATTGGGAGGATCGAAGTTCAGAGGCCAGCTTGGGCAAATAGTTTGTTAGATCCCGTCTCCAAAATAACCAGAGCAAAATTGACTTGAAGGCGTGCCTCAAGCGCCTGCTTTGCAAGTGGAAAGCCCTGAGTTCAAACCCCACAAGTCCCACCAAAAAACAAAAAACCTTCTACCTATTTAGTGCTTTCTTTGTGTATACTTATGCAAACTGTAGACGAAAAGTATCCCTGGGATTTGTGTGTGTGTGCTTAGACATGCAGTCCGAGATAGTAAAGTCTGAAATCGAGCCCAGCCTCTCTCCAAAGCTCAGATGGGGTGGAATGCATCATCGTAAATCCTGCCAGATTTGTGGCCTGGCTCCCGCGAGCCGGAGCCGTCAAGACTAAGAAGTCAATCTCGGTGCTAGGGACCCAGTTATTCTCCGCCCCGCCCCTGACTAGAAGCCACGCCCCCCAAGAGGACTGCCTGCATCTCCCATGAGCCTCTTCGGCTGTCACTCTTAGGAAAGTAAACACGTATACACTGGGCTGAGGCCGTTGGGTCCGGGTGGAAGGCGGGACTTCCGTTCCCTTGGGCACACGTCAGTCAGGGGGCGGAAGCGTGGCGCAGGCGGGAAGGTTGTAGTCCTGCGCGTTGCAGGGTTTTTGCCTAGTTCGGAGTGGTCGCGCCCCTTTTGACAGCAGCGACCCCACAGCGAGGCTTCCCGGGCGCCCTCACGTCCTCGGTAAGTAGCACAGCCTGGCGGCGCCAGGAGATGAAGGAGCGCGGCCCCGGCGCTGGCCTGTGCGGTCTTTGTTGCCAGAAGTCGGCCTCCCCGCCGACCTTGCCACCCAAGCCACCTAGTTTCCCTCGTCTCACGCAGTTTGCCCTGCACGCCCGCGGGCGGGGACCCTTCTGAGACGCCATTCCAGTCCCTGTCACCTCCCTGCATATCGTTCCATTCACAAGATGACTGATGCCGTAAGGTCACCGCGGGCTTCATTCCCATGAGGCAGTCAAGGACTCATTTACCAAAATTCCTGTCTTTTCCGGGCTTCCTGGAGGAGTCCAGCGTCATCCCACTCCACCTCCAAAGCACTGTCCACGCCTTTTTCTTTTTCTTTCTTCTTTTGAGACAGAGTCTCCCTATGGAGCTCAGGCTGGTCTCCAATTTGCTATCCTGCCCAGTCTGGGGAGCTCAGATTACAAGTGTGAGCCACCACACCCGGCGTTGTTCACGCCTTTTGAAGAGCGCATTTAAGCTCTTTTGGTATGGTTGCTTGGATAAGACTATTTTCCCACGGTTTCTGCGTGCCTTGAGGGTGGGAGTAGAGTTTTTCTTATCTTGGGCTCTCCCCAGAGGTTAGTACAAAAGCACTACACTTGGAAACCAGGAGCCCAAAGTGTGCCTATTAGTTTGTGACAGTGAGCCTCTACATCTATTAAATGGTCGTAAATAAATAAAAGCACAATCGAGCATCGAACTCAGTGTATGGTGCAGAGTAGGTATTTATTTGATCAATGTTAGGCTCATTTGTCTTCTTTAGCTTTCTGCTAACACAGTAGTTGCCGAATCGGAGGCACCATAGATGAGTGTTTTTTCTTCCTAATACTGTTAATTGGTCGATCTATTTGGTAAATACAGCCTTGTGAGTATATTGAAGATACAGCGATGCTAAGTGTTGATACTACCATCTTCAAGAATAAGCAGTGTTCATTTAATTACGTGCTTGAGGCACTTGCTGAGTTTAAATTTGTGATTTAAGGTTGTGCTTTTAAAATAGGTCTTTCTGAAGAGAATAAGAAAATGCAAACAGGCTAGTTCTTGACAACTTTTAATTTACAATTAAAGTAGGGTGTCTCTTATATGTGTGTACATACATCTTTTACAGGTGATTATAAAGTGCTGATCTTTTGCCACTGAACATAATTGAAACAGAAACCAGGAAGATGGCAGCAAACTCTTCAGGACAAGGTAATGCACGCTGGAGTTTCAGTTACTATTGGGCACATTCTCCCCATAAGGGAAATGTATTTGAATTAGAGAAAATTCAGAAAATTTAGTATGTAGCCAGAATTTAAAAATGCACAGCAAAGTGAAAATCCCCATTTGAAAAATTGGTCCAGCATTGTATCATATACAGAACATCTTTAATATTATTAGTTCTATCCCATATTTTATATTTTAATCTGTGTTAAAATCATTCACATTGTAAACCTTTTGTCCTCCTTGGTTCTCTTGCTTTTTTTTTTTTTTTTTTTTGACTTGAAATCAAGATCACTTTTAAAGCCGTATTGTCATCAGGCAATAACCATACCTTTATCTTCATTGTTCTAAAAATCTTTGTACACATTTCACATGTGTTGATATCACTAATCAAATTAAGTCAGACATATGGGTTGCTCTCAAGGAGTTATATTTTTAAAGTAGAACTTAATCTCTAGAAAGAATTAAATCCCACTTTGCCACTAATTTCCTGCTTAATAACTTGAAACAGTCCTCTTTCCATATCAGGTCTGAGTTTGTTTGGTTTTTATGTTTGACCCATCATTGCATTTTTAAAAATTACTTATCTGTTCTGATCTGTTGCTTTTCTTTTTAATCTTAGTTTTGTCTTAAGCTTCGTAGAGATAGAATCATAAAGTGTATATTGGTTTGTGTCCAGTTTCTTTCACTTACTATACTGTCTGTTAGATTCATGCATATCATGTATGGATGAATGGTTCATTCTTTGTTATTTTGGAGTAGTATTCCATGGTAATAATACATCACAGTTTATTTATTATTCTGCTTGTGGGCTTTAGGATTGTCTGTTTTGGTCCTTGTAAATAAAGCTGCTTTATAAGTCTCTTTATAGCTACATGTTTCATTTCTCTTGGATAAATATCTAGGCATGGAGGAGCTGAGTAAATGTTCAGTGCCATCCCCTTTTCCAAAGTGGCATTTTATGTCCCCTCAAGCAATGTGTGAGAGTTCTGGTTGCTCCACATTTAGTGGTCAGTCTTTTTGATTTTAGCTGTTCTATAGTGGACAAAGTGACATCTCATTGTAGTATTAACTTGATTTCCCTGTAAATCTTCCTTTGTGAAGTGTTCACATCTGTTAACTTTTTTTTAAATTATTTCTTTCTTTTATGAAGTTGCTTTGTTTGAGTTTTGATACAAGTCCATGATCAGATAAGTGTTTTGCTAATATTTCTTCTCAATCTTGCTTGCCTTTTCATTTTCTTGGCAGTAATTTTATTTTATAGGTAATGTGTTCTTTTTCACTTGCAGCTTTCAAAATTTTTTTCTTTGTATTTCAAAAGTTTGACTATGATATGCCTAGGAGCGATTTTCTTGCCTGGGGTTTCTTGAACTTTGTTGGGTTTGTAGGTCTTTCACTTAAGTTTGGGATATTTTCATACATTATTCAAAAAAAATGCTTTTAAGAGCCAGACTTTCCTTTATTCTAGGATTACAATTACACATAAATTACTTGTCATTGACGCATAGGCTCTGCTTTTTTTTCTTCAGTGTTTTTTCTCTTTGTGCTTCAGATTTGATCATTTCTAATGCTCTAATTTGGAGTTTGTTTTTTTTTAATAGATTTTTTATTAGGATATATTATATTATTATATTTATTATATATTATAAATATTATATATTTATTAATAAAATAATATATTGTTTTATTATATTATATTTATTAGGATATAATATATTAGGATATATTAGGGGGAGTCATAGTACAATTCTGATTAGTTTTATATTGTACATTATTTACATTGCCCCTATCATCTCTCCCTCTAATTTGGAGTTTAATGACTGTTCTACCATCTCCAGTCTGCTGTCAATTTAGTACAGAGAACATTTTTGTCTCAATTATTTTTAGCTCTAGAATTTCCTTTGGTTCTTTTCTGGAGTTTGTAATTCTCTGCCAAAATGCCCTTTATTTATTATGTGTCCATTTTTCTTTAGTCCATGAACATACTTACAATAGCTGATTTTAAGTCTGTGACTGCTAATTACATTATTTGGGTCATCTTGGAGTTGGTTTCTGTTGACTGTATTTTTGTTGCATATGGGTCACATTTTGTTCTTCTGTAACTTAATGATTTGTCATTAGACATTAGACATTATTACTAATATATCATAGAGACTCTGGATTTCTTTGTTTTCTTCTGAAATGTGATTTTTATTCTAACAGACAGCTTGCCACAACTCAGATTCCAAATTCTTGCCTCCTTTATGTTGGACAGCAGCTGAAATCTTGCTTAGTTTTTTCAGCTTCCAGCTGCTGTACTATTGATGCACTTCCTGGGTTCTCCTCCATGTATGTAGAATTTAAAGTGAGAGAAAACTTTGGTTAGATTTTATATATGTGTAATGGGCTTTAACCTTCTGCCTTTCCCTCTCACGTCTCTCCCCTAATTTTTTGGCTATACTTCTAGCCCTTAACTCTGGCCTTTCATACCTCAAGCTAGATAAGGCAAGGCTATCTGAACTGTTTGTAGAGTGGGGCAGGGGGAGTTCAGGCAAAAGGCCACAAGTTCTGCTTGATTTTCATCAGTCTCCAGTGCCTTCAAGTTGGGAATTTTAAGTACTTTGTCCAAGTAGGCATGATGGTGGTGCATGCCTGTAATCCCAGCACTTGGGAGGTGGAAGCAAAAGGATCATGAATTTGAGGCTAGTGTAGACTACATTGAAACTCTGTCTCAAGAAAACCACAAAACTCAAAAACTTTGTCCAGAATTTATCATGTTTGTGGCAGGGCTAGTCCAACTAAACTATTCTGCCAGTGCTGAAAGATAGACGCCTGTTAGTTGCGTTAGGACAAATTAAGGGTTACACAAGTTTTATAGAATTGTAGTATATGTTGAGCATCCCTAATCCAAAAAAAACATGATATTAGCAAATGCTTCAAACTCTTAAACATTCTGAGTGCTAACATGATGCCACACAAGTGGAAAATTCATGCCTGATCTCATGTGACAGGTCACAGTTAAATGTAGGCACATGAAAAGTATTTTTTTGTTGATGGTAGTCTATCCTAAATGCTTAGGCTGTCCTTGAACTCATAATCCTCCCACCTCACCTTAGTAGCTGAGATTACAGGCACTCACACGCTTATGGCAAAATATTGTATAAAGTAACCTTTAGATTATGTGTATAAAGTTATATGAAACATAAATGAACTTTGTGTTTACACTTGGGTCCATCCCCAAAATATCTCCTTATGTATATGCAGATATTCCAAAAATCTGAAAAAGTCTGAAATACTTCTGGTTGCAAGCAGTTCAGATAAAGGATATTCAGCCTTTATTGTAAAAAATTAGCTATGGTGACAGCTTTACTCGCTATAACCATAATTCTCTGTGCTCCTCACGAGTAACCGTATGTGATTCATGTACTGTATGGACTAGTCACTGGTCAACATTACCTATGAGCTCTAACCTCTTCTTTTTCCTGTTAAGTTATGATGCTTCAGGTTAAAGATAATTTAACTTGTGTTCAGTCCCCAGTACCTCCCCCCCAAATTAACTTGAACCAAATGAAAACTAAGAAGTCTATTTAAGAAAGAAAATACAATGCTAAAAATCACACAAAGCAGTCAAAATGAAATTTAAAATTATCTTTCTGTTCCAATAAAACAAAGAGTTGAGATTTATAATTTTTCTGGTTACTTTTCTTTTTAACAATTGCATTAGGAACAAACATTTTTAGTGTTGCCTTTGACCCATAGTCAAGTCTACTGTGAAACATCTCAATCTGAAGAGAAGTTAATTTGTATTAGTCATTTGGGGTTTTTTGTTTGTTTGTTTTAGTGGTACTGGGGTTGAACTCAGGGCCTGCGTTTGCTAGGCAAGTGCTCTATCATTTGAGCCACTCTGCCAACCCTATTTTTTGTGTGATGGGTATTTTTGAGATAGGGTCTTGTTTTCATTTTTCCCAGGCAGACTTTGAACCACAATCCTCCTGATCTCTGTCTCCAGAGTGTAGGTAGGATTACAGGTGTGAGCCACCGGCACCCGGCTAGCCATTTGGATTTTATTGCTGTTTTGTCAGCTGTTTTGTTGGTGTCATGAAGCTGCTGCTATTAGACACCAGTAGAGGGAGTTCACATCATGTTCTCTAGACTTGCAGATTCTCAGTGAGCGTTTTTACTTCTTAGTAGGATCTGTTATATTTTACTCTCTACATTAAATTATTTTTGTATCGTGCACATGTATGTACATAGGAATGAATATGGAGGTTGAATGTCAAGTGCTCAGTTTCCTTAAAATGATAACCGAAAGAAACATGACTTTAAAAAAAAAATATTGAGCTAGGTACAGTGGCACACCCGTCATCCCAAGCTACATGGGAGGCTGAGATCAGGAGGATTGTGGTTCTAGGCCAGCTCAGACCAAAAAGTTTGCAAGACTCTATCTCAACAGAAAGGTTGGGAGAGATGGTGCCTTCTTGTCATCCCTGCTCTGGTAGGAAGTGTAGGAGATTGCAGTCCAGCCCTGGACAAAAAGTGAGACCCTATCTTCAAAATAACCAGAGCAAAAAGAGCTGGAGGTGTGACTTAAGTGGTAGAGCACCTGCCTGGCAAATTCAAAGCCCTGAGTTCAAACCCTAGTACTGCCAAAACAAAACAGATCTTGACCTATGCATTGCAATGTGGTCCAGGGGACAGAATCCCGTAGTGTTCACTAAGGCCTCTGTGATGGTTAATGTTGATGGTCAATCAACTGGAGCCTAGGAGACTAATAAAGCATACTTCTGGGTATGTGTGTCTCTGAGGGTATTTCCAGAAACAATTGGATTGTGATGGCTGTGACCTAGTCAATAGTGTGGTTCACTGATGGATTCAAAATTTAAATAGACTATTGGGGAGGTAGTGGAACTGTGGAAGGTGGGTTGGAGAAAATGGGTCAATAGGGGAAGGGGTATATCTTGGCGCTTGCCTCTTCCTGTTACTCCTGTCCTGGCTGCCATAAGGTAAGC